TGTACGACAGACTTGTCGTGAATTAAAAAAAAATTGAAATATAAAAAAGTATTTATATTTATATATAATTCATCGCCACAGAAAATGCTTTGAAAATATTATAAAGTATTTAAATGACAATACAATCAAACTCCGTTCATTCAGATTTGTTTGAATAGTCGTTTCTCTTTAAATCTTTACACATTTTGTAAAAAATTATTATTATTTTTCGATGTTTGTGAGATAATTGAAACATTATTTATAACCTTAATATGTATGTAGTGTACTGTACCTATGTAGCAATCTCATATTTGTACTGTATTTATGGAGTGATTTTAATGTACCTATTGTTTTCAAGTCAGTAAAGCATTAAGTTTATTTTCAATTAATAAAAAGTATATTCATTAGGGAATTCTCGACTTTAATTTCAATACCCCACTAATTTCAGTGTCTCAGATGGATCGGATCCGGTCCCGTTTGTTCCGGATAAATTGGGTTTAACTTGTATTATAAGTAATATTGAATTTAAAAATAATTTTTTAAATTTATTAGCTTAATTAATCAATTCATTGTAAGAAAGAAACTACTAAATTCATTATATTTGCTATATTAAAAAGCTTTCAGATAAAAATAAAACGTGTTATAGAAGAGAAATTTATAAACTCTTTTCCTTTACATTTTTTAAAATATGTGCATATTTAAAAAAATGAGTCATATAAACTATCTTTATCATAAATTTGTACATATTATACATAATTTTTTTCATAGAATACAAATTAAAACTTATTTAATTAATTTGAAATTAACGATATTTACTTTACGATCATTTAATTAATTCCGAAATTTCGTCGTCAATTAAATAACGATAAAATTTTTCGCTTTCTATGTTTAATTTTAGGAATTGTAAATTTAAATATATTACGAATAGAAATATAAAGACACACACACGATTTTAAAATGTATAGTCTACATCTAACAATAGAAAATATTTTAAATAATTTATATATAAATACATAAATACGCTGTTCAATTCTATAAGTGATATTTCAACAGCAATTGAGCAATTGCATTTCTGTATTTTTTAAATTAGATTTTTATATTGCATATTAAGAATTTCTTTTTGATTTATATATATATATAGATCAATATCACATATATATTATATAAAGTTTTGTAGCTTGTTAAAAGCACAATATATATATATAGGCCTATATTGTGCTTTTAAAGCACAATATATATATTTAAAGCAATATAATTAACTTACAAACAAAATCTTTAAAAAGTTTTTCTGCGTATATAGAAAGTGAGAAAGTACCTAAACATCTACACACACCAACATACACACAAATAAACAAACATACATATTATTTATTGAAAATATATTCATTAAAATAATTTATTTATATGCTTGTTATATGTTTAATGTTTTTTTTTAATTTTTAAACTGAAACTATAAAACATTTTTTTAATAAGGAAAAGCTATCTTGAATTTTGTTAAAGAAGTGGCATAAAGAAGAGAGATCTGATTCCAACTCCTGAGTATTTAAAAATTTTTACAAATAACAAAAAGGAAAAAAATATATTTAAATGTATTACACATCTTATTGAAATATAAAAAGAAAAGTATATTATGAAAAAATTAATGCATTTGCTTTGTATTAATATCTTTCGGGAGTCCCAAATTCCAACCTTAAGCAAGTTCTCCTTAAGCCACTGTTGTAAAGCTTATTATTTAATATTGTATGATACAATTAACATTAGGTTTTTATCCAGAATTTTATAAATTTGATATTTTTTAAATTAATGAAATTGTTTAAAATTATGAATTTATTTCTAGTTTTTTTTTCCATTTAAGAGAGGTATATAATCTTTCATTCATTTTTTATCATGATATCTGGAGCAGATAANAAAAATATATCAATAAATAGGATTAACCTGAATGTTTTTCTTCAAATTTATGACTAAGGAAAATTTCTAATTCTACTAATTTCCTAATTCTTCATCACATAGTTTAACGTTATTACATTGTAAAAATTTTACACCATTTTTAAAAATAATTCTAAAACATTAACTTAGAACAATTGTATAACAAGCGATTAAATTCCTCCATATCTAATTTAATAGATTAAAAAAAAATTAATATCGATTTAATCTTGTTATAACAGGAATAAACATTATAATCAAAATAACCAACACCTTATTCGTTGCCGAGGAAGTTTATTAAAAAACAAACGTTTTCGATCTCTTCCATAGATCATCTTCAGGTTGGAACCACGAATATGGAATAACCACATAGAATAGAACACGAAATTCAAATTCAAAAAATATCGACAACCGAGCAACCAAGTAAAATAATTAAAGCGTAAAAAATATAAAGTGTAAAAATAAATAACATACAACGATAATTAAATAATAGTACAAGCCGCTAATAGTTACCAAAAACTATAACAGAGGTGGGAAAGTTAAAAAAAAAACAAAAAACAAAAACAAATATTCTTGAACTGTGTCGTAAGCTATACATCAACAACGTAACAAATGTTTCAACTACTAAATAAAATTACTGGATTACTTTCTACTTACGGAAATCTTAACTTCATCCCTGGATTTATTTGTTATTTGCAATACTGCAGCGGATTTTAAAGAAATTCAACATTTTTCTGAATACAGGTACTGGGGTTAACGAAAAAATCTTGTTATAAATATAAATTATTTTGCAATATCTGAACGATTAGATCACTTGTCAAAGGTCAGTCGTCTTCCAGCTTCAACATCAATGTGATTTTATAAACCTACAATAAAAATAACTTTTATCATAAAAAGTAAATGTAAAGAAAGTTTTAAATTTTTAATATTTTATTTTCTGTATATAAAATAAACAAGTAGAGAACGTTTACAATTTTCAATATTTCGTTTTACTTAATTATGAAATAACATATACGCGCGATCTTACATTAGTCCAGATAATAAGTAAATCTTATTATACCTTATATAACATAAAAATCAAAATAATTCGTCATATATCTGCAGTGGGTATTTTAAAAAAATTGATTGAAAATGCAAGAAAGCAAAAGAAAAATAAATCAAATCTCATTGAATGATATTTATAGGTTACCTGCATTTTATTGTACTATACAGCTAACTTTCAGCAGAATTTTTCATAAAAATAATTTTTCTTATACAGCACATAAATTTTCATTAGGTATTTATTTATTTTCCTTTAAACCATATTTGTCAAGTTGTTAGGAAGGATATGTGAGAGTTAGGAATACATAAAAGGCTAACTAGTAATAGGACAGAGTGGAAGGGTAGAATAACAAAACCCAAATCTAGTAAAATAGAACAAATATGATGATAATGATTTCTTTTAATTATTTTTTAAAATTGTTCTTATACTTAATTAATTTATATAAAATAAGACAAAATATTGTTATATTGTTCTCCGATTTTTCAATATTTCAATAAAATAATATATCTTAATTTACATGAATTTTTATTAGTGTACAGTACAGTATATACAACTCTCGCGTAAGTAGCAATAACATTGTAGTTAGGATAATGTTAATGGCTTGCGAAAACTCTGAAAATGTGCAGAATTTCAGATATTTATGGAATTCCTTTTACATATTACTAGGATAGATTATTTCTAAAAAATATATAGATTACGCCGGCTCATATGTCTGAATACACACTACGTATTTGGTTCGTTGAATATAAATATATCTTATATATTAAAGTTGTTGTATGTTGATTATTTATAGAGTTATGTAGAATATCGATTTATCAGTCATTTAATATACATTAGTTCGCTTAAATGCATTTTAATTATATATTTAATTTATAACATATGTATATATAATCTAACGATTCATATTTATCAGATATAAATTGAATTTTGTTTGCTTCTGCAATATCTTATGAAGATAAATTTCATTGTCTTGAAAAATATGTTGTTCTATTTTATATTTGGCTGAATATATTATGACTAACTTATGAGATTTCTAAAATTGTCTAGTTATGATAGCTATTAAAACTTTTTCGAATATAAATATAAGTTGCATCCGTTTCTGGTATCTTATGATCTGACGACAAGGAAATAATTAAAATTAGTAATTATTTTGTTCTCTTCCTCTTTTTCACAACACTATAGTGTTGAGAAAATCCAATTTTCCTAATTTCCTATAAATTCTATGCTTATTCACAAAGGAATATAAATGTAAACTTTTATTTTATCACTCGCTT